GTGTGCCTACCCAAAGAGAAACCAGTCATAGGCCACTGTCAGGTAGAGAATCTCAGATGGCTCCAGGGACATGTGGATCAGCCCATCCTGCAAAGCAAATGAGAACAGCCTTCAGGCAGCAGCCCTGGGGATCGGGACTTGGGAATTCATGATCTACTGAAAACTGTCATAGTGATCCAAGATGTCCAGCTTCCTCGACCCGCCTGTGATACCGTGTCTGATGGCAGGACAGTACGTTAGGCTCCACATCAAAGCCAATCCACACACCCTCCACAGCCAAGACAGACAAAAGGAACATTAACTGCTCCACCACCACTTCCTGGTGACACAGTCACTCGCCCTCCGAGCAATCACCCCCAGAAGCAGAGCAGCTTAGCCAGGTACTCACAGCCCATAAGGAGAGGCGCAATAAGGAGATGAAGAGAGGAGTTCGATCCCAGCCGGATATACAGTGCACCAGGAGCCCGCTGTCATCTGTTCCAGGCAGGGGTAGGAAGGAGAAGGAAAAAACGGATGTTGCAACAAGAGGAATGACTTTTCACAGCAAATCTGTAGAGACAAGTTACTCTCTCTGCCCACAGCCCAGGCTCAAGAGCAGAGCTCAGTCACCAAGCCAGAACATTTTGTCTTGAATATAGCAGCCAACAAATTGCTCAGAGTGTCCTGGGTTGTCAGCAGCCCCAGCTGATGTGCTGTCCTGCTCCTGACAGCTGCTCAGGACATGAAGTCACTAGGTATGAACATCACTTTGCTACCCAGAACGTCTACCTACCCAGCTGCAACCCACTATCACAATCTATCCCCACATCAGAGAAACCTGCTCCAACTGAACACTTCTTCAGTCTCACCAACCTTCCTACTGATACACCTTGAGCAGAGGCACACACAGGGCACAACTCCTATGCTCTCCAGGAAACTCGCAGTGTATCCCAACACAACTACTGCAGGAGTGTCCGTAGTTGGCCGGGCTGGTAGACCCAGCCACAGCTCCATCAGTCCAACAGTGCTAGGTACAAAGACACAGTGCTCAGAGGTAACGGGATGACAACTTAAAATGACAGATCCACCTCAAGGAGTTGGGGTGGCTGTGACAATGGAGGCCAAAAGGGGCTTTTAAATATGCACCTAATGAGACCCTGGGTTAGGGGCAAAAAATACAGATGTCCAGTAAAATAAGAGCAAGCATCAACAAGCAGAGGAACAAATGTTTATTCTCTTCAGCTTTACAGCAGTAAAGCTTCACATCAAGTGTTCAGATCTTCCTCCACTCTTGGAAAGAGAGGGTCTTCCAGGGATCTGGAAGTCCCTATCTAAGAGAGGAGCTGGAGCCCTGAGATGCCAGGACCATCACTGTTTTGAAGGGAGAGAAGTGAAGCTCTCTATAAAGAGCTCTCTAAGTGGCACTAATACCATCCACTGTTCTTCTGGAGACAGCAGCTGCTCCAGTTAGACTGCTGGGAGCAAGGAGTTTGCCTTACCATCACTATTGATGATGGAGATGAGCAGCTTCAGGTAGTTCTGTGTCTGTTGCACAAGGTCCCAGCTCTGCAGAAAGAGAAATGTTGATGGTAAGGGTCTGCCCACAGCAAAAGGCTGCTCTGCAGTTCAGAACCCACCATGCTCTTGGCTTCTCTATCTGGAACAACAGCAAAGCAGAAATGACCCCGTGGCCATTCCTCAGAGTGACAGACTCCCTTGGTGTTCTAATCCATCTCCCCATCCTCTACAAAAGGCAGCCTGGACAAGAGACCAGGCATGGAAGAAAGGGGGGAGGGCAAAAAAAAAAAAAAAAAAGCAAAAGGCCATTTCTCCTGTCTGCCTGGCTGGCACAGAATCCTCTTGCCTGCAGCCCCAAGCAGACCACGCTCAGAGAGACTGACAAGAACCAGCAAACACCTGTAGAGCGCTGACCCAGTTCAGCAGCCCCCGGCAGACGTGCACTTTACCAAAGGGCTCAGCAGCCCCATTACAGCTGTGTATGTGGTGCAAGTAGCATGATGGGGTGAGCAGGCCAAGGTCAGCAGCCTGTTCCCACAACCCAAGCACCTTGCTCAAAACCCTCTGGCCCTTGTAAATGGCAGCAGGAGACTGCCTGCAGAGGGCTGACCCACTCCCAGCTGCCCCAGACAGGCACTGGACTTCTGCAGTAACACCCAAGTAGCAGCAGCAGCACAGAAGGGCTCTGAACTCGGACACCTCCAGCACTACAAGGTGTACAGGTGAAAACCATCAGAACAAGCTCAAGTGTGCCATTCTCAACCACTGTATTGTGAGAAGATGCAGGAACTCCAGCGGTCTGATCAGAGCCAGAACCAGCTCAAGGAAAATAGGATAGCACCAGCTAGGAAAAAGCAAAGAGGACACATGTTTCATTGTGACAGTGTTCATGGTATGAGTGACATCTGACTGCCAGCAAGAGAACACTCGCTGTCTGCTTGCATAGGCGCACGTGTGCGTGTAACCACACTTAAGACTACTGTCAGACAAAGAACATATTGCTCTGCCGTGAAGCCTGCACAGCAACAAAAGAGCAGGGAAATGGGGAACACAGCCTGGGGCAGAAAAACACGTACTTCCAAAGTCTTTTATCTGCCCAGTTCAACACAATCTTGTGCTTATGCCAGAAGGAATCATCTAATCATCCAGTCTGATCTCTCTATACCACAAAGTTTCGTTTAGTTCTCCCAAATACAGCCTGAAGCTTGCACTCGGCAACATCTCTGCCCAGAGAAGCATCTCAACTAGGGGCGACAGCTGATAGCTCCTTTGCCACCATGTTCCAACAGATCATCCTCAAAAATAACATGCAGGACTGCTTTCCCTTACTTGAAGGTCTGATTTCAGACTGCAGATATTTCCTCCTCAGATTGAAGAGTGCTACAGAATTAGTATTTTCTCCCTGCAAATGTACTTGCACATTAATCAAGTCAACCCTCCATCACCTTTGTGATTAGCTAAACAGACTGGGAACTTCAGCTTTAAGTGAAGCACCTTCTCCAGTCCTGAGACCATTTCTGCATCTATTTATTACACTCTTCAATTTTTAATAACCTTTTTAAAATAACGGCTGCTCAGTATTCTAGTGAACAAGTTTCTAGACATAAACATGCTGTGGTCCTATTAGTTCTGCTTCAACACTCCAAGCTACTTTTCCGTGATTCTGCTTATGCTGGCACTTAAAACATTATTTACTTCACTGACTGACAAACACTGGCCCAGCACAGGGAGCTCTGCTAGCTCTGCGGTGCTTCCAGCCACAGAGCAGAGAAGCATGACATGCTCCAGCACAGTCAATCACCACAAAACCTGGGGGGACTGGTAGGCCCACTGATGTGTGAAATGGAGCACACTGGTCAGCAGCATAAGGTGATGCTCCCTGGTATGAACAGACAAAGGTAAACCTCGAAGCCTGGGCAAACATAAGAGTTCAATTATCATTTGTGATGCTGTCACAGTAACAAGGAATGGAGACATCAGTTACGATTTTCTACTCTTCTCCCACAGGACAAGGACCTTGCACACCCACAAAGAAGGTGCCTAGCACTTGGCTCACGTCAGGGAAGGCTGACCTCTCTCAAGACTCTCCACAGCCAAGGAAGTCTGCCCACTGCAGGCACGTGCTGAGCTAAGATTATGGACACGGAATACTGCTTTCTGCTTGCTGGCATGTTCCTTACCTTTGTTAGTGACTTATCTCCCTAAGGGACTGCAAGCTTTACGCAAGCTACAGAAAAAGATCTGACATTAGTCATCTGCCTCGGAATGCCCCAAGCCATGGAGCTTTTCGGTAGAGGATTTCCAGTGTCATTCTGAACAGTCAACTAAGCAGCCTTGCTCCCACTGGGATGGTATACAGTGAGCCAGATTACGGCAACTGGAGCAAGTCAGACTTCAAATCTTTACTGATCCTTCCTGAACGAATCTCTGACTTTCCAGCAGAGATGCCTACTTTGCTCACCTGGTACTCGCTCCAATCAATATTCAGAGATTGGGTCAGAGAGACTGGGATACTTAATGGAGCATCTACGTAATCCTGAAAAAAACCCCAAATACAACTGGTCAGAGAAAAGCCATGACTCAAAAGCAGTGAGTTCCAGAAAAAACAAAACAACAAATGCCAAATGGTGCATCTAGAAGTAAACATCTCAGCAAAGCATCTGTGGATGCAAAAAACTGGAAGTGGTAAGAATGAACTCATAGCCTCTTAGAAGGACTAGTGGACAAGACGAACTCTCCCATGCTCCCAACGGTGGAAGTCAGGGACAAGGCATGTTAGTTTCCAAATTCCTGTAGGGCTTCTCCACTCAACCATCTGCCTCAGCAGGAGACAGAATATGAAGACAGAACTAAGAACAGAGACTATGAATAAGATATCAAGTTCAAAACCCATATCCCCCATGAGAGGTCAAGCATTCTTGACTTCAAGATAATGATTCATTTATTTTACGTAAGAATTTTACAATGAATAATTTAGTACATTCACTATCTGTTTTGTTTGTTCTATTGGTTTCCTTCCTGTGCTCAGAAATAAGCACACGACATATACACAGTCGCTCAGGAACTCTGAGGCAAGACCTAAGCCCAGTAAAGCCCACAGCTCCCCATTTTGTAACATCCATGTACCTGTTTCCAGTTGAATACGAGACCTTCAGCTGTATAATCTCGGTCTTTGTATTCCTTAAAAAATTCACAGCCTGCAAGAAAAAGAGATAATGAACAACCATTCAGCTAACCGATTAACAACTGAAGTGCCCTGTGGGACTGGAAGTGCTGGCAGCCCCAGGGTTCCACAGCACCAAACCAATCAAAACTGTTGCCTGCAGGAAGAGCAGAGCAGTAATCGTCAGTACAGTGTGCAGCACGGCCTCCCAGCAGCAACAACCCAGAGCACTCAGCACTGAACCTGCTCACACAGCAAAGGGCAAACTCCAAACACACAGCAAATGTGGAGTTTGAGGGACTGATTTCATTCTTTCCCAAATAAGAGGTTTCACCAAGGAGCTATGCTTTCCAGGGCTGCTGGCTTTTGCACAGATCTAAGGCATCAGCCTGACATGCTGAGTGAGAAGGAACCAGCAAAAGGAGGTGTCGGCAGAGCCCTGGGGAAAGCCAGCTTTCACAGCGCATCTGCTGCAGGTAACAAGAAAGGGCTCTGTCAGAGGCAGCTGTGATTTCTCTCACATTTAAGTCTTCTCTTTCAAACACGTGAATCACCCTGTCTGAAGGAAGCAGGTTCACGACCACTTCCAAGGTTCCCCCCAAGCCCTCCCCCCTCCTGAAGTTTATCCTTTGGTTCCATTCTTCCCAAACAACTATTTGAAGTCTCTGCTGCAAACTGCAGTCACTTAGTCACAGCTGAGCAGCACTATTAGCACTGCAGCTGCCTGCAGGCTACGCAGAACACCTCTCCCAGGTACCGTGTGTACCCCAGCAGCGCTGCAGTGCCCACATCACAGAGACACCCCAGTGCCAGGCACTGAACATGGGCAGCAATTCTGGCCCTGCAGGCCACAAGTAACTCCAATGACACCACCCCACCACCCCCCCAAAAAAACCAAAAAACACAAAAAACCAAAAAAACCCTACACTTTGTGCAAGGACAGGACTAGCCTTCAAAAAACACACAGACAGGGAACAATCTGTCAGCTGAGGTTTAACTCCAGTTAAACAACGGCTTAAAGCAAAGAATGGGCAATTATGGACGTAAGTATTGGCATCTACAAATGCCAACTATTAGTCAAATGTAAAAGAGGGTTTTCTGCACTAGAGAGCAGAAAAGCTTCTACAGATACCCCATTTTAACCCAAGTCTTTCACCCTCGACAGGACACTGTTTCACTCACCTAAGACAACAGGATCTCAGAATAACTTTAGAGGCAAATCACAAAACAGAAATTCTTTCAATGCAAACCTATAAACATTAAGAACGTATCACAGCATTTGGCCAGTCACTAGAGAGTTTGCTGATCCTTAGATGTGTATGCCTTAGATCTAACAGAATGACAACACTCCCCTCTGGACCAGCACTGCTGAAATTAGGCAACACCTGCAGGGAGAGTTTTCAGGCTTTATAAGGTTTACCTCTAGCACGGCAGTGAAGAGCTGCTGAAGGATCACCGCTGTCCCAGATGGCAGAAGAGGAAGGGCCATCACTGAATATTGCACACAACAGGCAGATCCCCACACAGTAACAACTCTACAGCTTAACTCCATAGAATCGCTTTTTCCTCTTTCCGTACAAACCCTGCGAAAGACCTGCATGCACTGTCTCCCACGGTGTGTCTGATGAGGCAGACAGCAGCAACATACACCCGAGCCCCATGCTACAGAAACTAGTAACACTTATTTCTGCACATCTCTGCAATTTGCACTACAAACTTCATACAAATCTTAACGCAGCTTCTCTGAACTGTCACTAATTTCTATATGAAAGGAAATAAACGTTTTTAAAAAACACAAATTAAGGGCAACAACTAGCAATCAAGGAAAAGTCTGGGTTTGGATCATCCACAAAAGTTTTGGGGTTTTCTTCTCCCCTCCTTTTCTTTGTGTGCAAGGGAGAAAGAAGAGTCCTTTCTTGCAGACAGACCTCAAGCACAGCAGTCTCACATCCAATCCCATCACCGAGCCTGACATCAGCAGGCAGGCAGCGATACTCAGCTCATCTTTCGGAGTGCAGCAAGTGACCCAGCAGTGGTTGCTAGGCACAGGGACTAATATAGCCATGGAGATGGGCTGGAGTGGTCTGCGTCTCAGCCGTACATTGCAGCTCAGGGTAACAGTTCTGCCTAGCACTGAGAACATCTTGCAGTGGTGCTCTGCAACACTAGGACTAGAAAATACTCTAAAGAACTGGGGTTTTTTATAACACGGAGCAAGATATACATTTTGCATGAAGTAGTAGTTCAGAGTTGTGGGGGTGTCAAAGGCCATGTTAACCCCAGCTCCAGCTCTGGGACTTTTTCTCCACGCTTGAATCCATTAGAACTTCTGAGAAATTATTCTGCCATCTCAAAGTGTGCCTAATGCTGACTCACACCACCAGAGCATCCAGATTTATTGCACGGTTCTCAGTTTAAAAGAGCTCCTCTCCAGAGGGACCACAGGAGATGTTCAGCAAGCCACAGTCATCTCACCACACGCACACAAACAGGTAGTTCCCAGTTCCCAGAATGGATTGTCACCTGTACCTTGCGAGTCCCTCTGGACATCAGTCCTGTACCTGGATATGGGATGGAGAGAAGCATGAAATCAGCATAACGTTGAGCTTTGTCCACCTTCTCAGAAGACGTCACACTGCACAGGACAAGAGGAAAACAGCAGACATTTGTAGAGTATTTTTCACAGGGACACTAGGACCCAAAAAGCTGCCTGTCGCACCCCCCTGCACAATGACTTGACTCAGGAGTGAGCAGGGGCACTTACTCAACTTATTCAACACATCCAAATAAGCATGTATAGCCCCAAAATACTAAAGCTTTCCTATGGAACAGAGAAATACCTCCAACTGCTCCTATACACAAGCAGAGGGCTCCTTTATTCTCCCCCCTTCTGAAGGGGTGGGCTGTCACATCACCGCAAGCTCTACATAGAAAACCTACTCAGACTGCAGAAGACAGATTGAAGCAGCTGCCTTGCCCATTGACACAGCTTTCTCTGGCCTGAAACCCTGGGGTTCTCTTTACAGCATTGACTAACTGACCCTTCTGCAGGACTCTTCCAGGGACTGCTCCCAGGTTGCTGAGTGCATGCCCAATAACAATTCACATGTAAGGGCTACACTAGCTGCAATCCAAAGCCTGCAGAAAAACAAATGAACCCAGACTCACTTCAAGCCAAACTTCACCTTCTTGTTTTCCACCATTAGGTCACAGATATATCGGACAGACAGGTATCGAAGCAGCTTGATGTCATGCCCTCTGACCTTGTCGAACAGCTGGGAGTCTGCATTTCTGCAAGACAGAACAAGGTAAAGCAAGACGAGTGTGGAAGACTGACCACGCTGAGTCTGATTCTTTGCACAATACCGCCACAGCTCTTCCCTGAACCGCTTCTAGCCATAAGCCGCATAGCACGAGCCTCGTCTCCAAAGGTCAGAGTCAGACTCTGCAATGAAATGATACTGCAAACTTTGTGCTTAGGGTCGCTCCCCATGACTCACTCTGTTCTGCAACAAGCACTTAAGATACAGAAAGATTTGTCCAGCCTGGAGATGCACTTTTTGATGAAGTAAACATGTCTATGTAATCCAAATATCTTGCTAAATGGCCCTATATATTCTTGTCTCCAGCCCTTCCCTCTGGCAAGGGATTAGCAAGCTTCAGTTACATGGGGTTCACCCAGCCATCAGCATTTAAGACTTTTTCAAAAGCAAGGGAAGAAAAAGAAAGACTTCAAGTCTGGTGATGGTCTCAAGCCTGTACCCAATGCCCAGTCTAGAAAAGAGCAGAATTGAGTGGCTGAGTTTTGGTCCAAATTCCCTTTTCCGCACAGCAGTGATGCATACGAACCTAAGTGCAGAATCTTCCTCTGAAATGTCTTCTGCATCTGCCCAAGCATCATCAGAACCTCCTGCAAGGAAGGCATTAAGAACTGAAGCTTGTGTAAACCAACTCAATCCCCAATCTGACAAGACATGCGCATGTGCCCCACAAGGCCATGGTTTGGTGCCCTCTCTCACATATAAGTGCTCTCAATAGTTCCCTACACTTCCTCTTCCTGAAATTCCCCTTGCAGGCACTCTCCCCTTGTCATTGTAAAGGTCTTAAGCAGGTCAAACCCATAACCAACAGCCAGAAGGACACCCCGATAGTACTACACAGTGCTTTGTTAAGCCAAGCTTCAGCTCCCACACTACAGACACACTATATTTCCCTGAAGAGCTTTCTCTAGAATCCAGTATATCTCACCATTGGCAGGATTTGATTCCCAATGATTAGCCAAGCAACAGTGTGTTCTCATCCTCTTTCTTCCATTATTCCTACCCACCAACAGTGTGTTCTCATCCTCTTTCTTCCATTATTCCTACCCCCGATGGCTGGGAATCAGTAGCCTGAATCCTTTGGACCACCTTACTTGCCTACATGTTTCCCATAACTCTTTCTTTAGCCTCAAGTTCTTTTGTCACTGCTTCTTATGAGCTATGCCACTCTGTCCTGTAGTACGGTGCTTGGAAAGGGACAAGGGGTTCCAGTCTTTGCTCTGCTATGCAGGGCCCAATACAAGCAGGTCCATGCTGGAGCTCTGCATCAGCTCTCAGGAAGAGCTTGTTCTCACGTGCAGGTCACTGTCCCAGCACTGACCAGCCTCACCAGGCAGATAGTGACAAACGGCTCCTCACTCACCTGAGAAGATATAGTTGTAGCCAGTGCGCCCATACAGCTCTCCCCAGCCGGCCAGCGTTGCTGATCTGCAAATATGCTGGAGGAAGATTTTGTTATTAACCACGCATGCTCCAGGAGTCTTTCCCTTATCAGGTCTCTGGCCTCTTTGCTGTCATGTTACATAGAAATGGTTGGTTCCTACAGCTACCGCCTCTTGGCAGTCTCCCCTGCAACCCTTGTCCAGATTGAGCTCTCCAAACACATCAGAATCCCAAGTGCCTTCACCTGTAGCTAGTTTTTAAAACACATTTTTATCTTCAGTTCTCCAATTCACTAATACAGTCAATTCCTGTCAAGTAGCAACGTCCATGCTCTGTTAATACCCTGCTTGAGCCTTATTTCCACATTCCTCTGGGTAAGATTATGGATGGTCTCAGTACGACTCTAGGCAGTTCGCTCCTGCACAAAAAGGTCCGCAGGTTCAGCTCCACGATGCTTCAGTCAAGCCAGATTAAAATTGTCACAGGTATGATTTTGCTATTCATACAGTGTTTCTAAACTGAACTAAGAAAACTGAATTAAGCTACTCAAATTCTAAATGAAACTACCCCTACAGGGCTTCACTACAGTTTAAGCAATCCACATAAAAATGAACCTGATTTACTTTCTTACAGATCCCCTTGCAGGCAAGCCCACACATTCATAAGACCATTTATGCAATCTTGCCTCCCCAGGGAACAGACAAGGGAAACTTCTCTTTAGAGACCAAAGTTATTCAAAGGGAGCTCACTGCTGGGAAGAGTAAGGGGCAGAAAGTGACAATAGTTGTCTTTCTCCTCTCAAAGGCCAAATATCTTTGGTCCTTCAGAAGGGACACATGTACGCAGAAAATGTCAGCTCTTCGGTGCAACGCCTATGACATGTGGGGGTAAAATAGCCTGAAGTCCCCACAGATGACTTATGCAGCCTGGACAGCAAATGCTACCTACTACTACAGGCTGCCTGCTTGTACCTAAGACTTTTACAGCATTCGAAAAGGTTACAACCAAACGAAGACGTGGCTGCACAGTTCAAATGGCAGGGAGAAAGGTCATTTTCTAAGTTAACACAGGTAACCCATGAAGCTTTACCTTTCCCTTGTACAGAATGACTGGGCAAACAAATCGTCCTCTACACCTCGCCATCTTACTTCGGTTGATAAGGTCCTGCAGTTTGCCAACCTGCACAGTGCTCTCAAACCTAGTGGACAGAGATTTGGTTCAGTACACAGAGCATCTTCTCACACGTCTTTCAGCGAAGCTGCTACAGACACCCTGGGCTGTAATCCCCGTCCCTTTGGCCTACAAGCCAGCTCTGAAGTTAGCAAGCAAGAGGACACTTTTTTAACAATTGCTCCACAGCTATACCACATGTATGGACGCTTTTCTGTCTCCTTTTCTTCATTTTGAAAGACCAGCTGCACAGTACACGACAGCAAGCATCTTCAGGAGGTGGCAATACGAGCCCCGTCAGAATGGTCTGCTGCAGACTAACACGTGGATTACTAACGAAGGACTAACAGAGCAAGCCAGTGTCTACAAAAATGTACATTCTGCAGCTCAGCAATACCATCAGAGTGAATTCACTATCAGACTGCTAATTTTGCAAGGAAAAATAAATAAAATAGAAAATCAAAGCTTGAACACTCAATGAGCCTTAGTTCTGCTCACTTGAGCATTTGTGCTGCCAGGTGATTAGACAACTGTTTGTAAATCAGCTAGTGGGTTGAGCAGGGCTGTTAGATTAATGTTAGCTGCACCTGCATAACTAAGTTCTCTTTGGTTTTCCGGTTAAAGTTAAAACAGAAATCTATTCCAAGTTGGAGACATTTTGGAAACAAGTTCAAATTGTTGCAATTACCAGTCTACATTTGATAGGAATCCAAACTGACTTCCGAACTACACAGACCTTCAGGAAGGACCGTCAATGCAGGGAGAACTAGAGTTTCCACAAGGAACTGGAGAAGCATCCAAACTGACATAACAGAAACCAGATGAAGTCGGGACATACAAAACTGCACAGCCACGCACGTAGAGATGATTAACAAGAATTTCCAGTTAGCCCTTTCCAGTAGTGGAGCTCAGTGGAAAAGCTCATATGAACTGGTTGATCTCCAGATGCTTGTGCATTATCAGCATGGTAAGTCTGAAAAAAGGGACAAATAAAATCACAGGAAACTCTCCAGTGGGGTGGAGAAGTATCAGCATTACTGTGCAGAGCACAAGATCTCAGCTGAGACAAAGCATCCGATTCTAGTGACCTACACATGCCTGAAAAGGCACAGCAAGGCGATTAGGACGGCCAAGGGACAGTCTACGCTGGAAGAGAAACTGCAACGCATCGACTGGCAGAGCAGACAAAGTGAGAACAACAATGTATGCATTAGGGTGACGGAGAGAACTTACAGCAGAGGGGGAGAAGAACTTGAAGGCGAAGGACAACGCTGGTCTAAGAACAAAATAATACCTTTATGCTGGAAGTTAAAAGAAAATTGCTAAGCTTTAGAATCAGTGAGAGTGCAGAGCAACCTACCTGAAGCTGCCATTCTGGGAAGGATTAAAAAAATTAATCTATTATTAACATGGAAATTGATCTGTTTATGGAAAAGATGATACAAGTTGGTGCCAGTGGAAGCAGGGAAACAGCAGACAAGACCTTCAAATCCTACTTTTTTTTCTTTTGAAAGAAAGGATTAAGTTCTCAGAATTCATAGTGGAGGCTTCAGCCTTTTCAAGTGTTTCCCTATACACACAACTGTTATATCTGCCCAGCTCCAAAGAGCTCTGACATATACCAGAACTCAAAGAACAAGAACTCAAGGTAATCTTTTAATGTTGCTGGCATGAGGGTGCTAAGCACAAAGACAGGACAATGCCAACACAATATACTTCACACGGGTGTACGTGAGATTGCGTGCAGACAAGAGGCACGCGCCCGATCAATGCAGCCCAAACTCTGCTCATCGCTGTCACTGCAAACAGCCAAGAGCTCCGCAATCTGCCTCCCTCCTCGGAGAGGATGTGAATAACACACACCGCAGGAACGGCCTGTGAGCAGTCTGCGAAGAGACACCTTTGTGTGTAATTCCCAATATCAAACTATTCTGAAACTTTGAGAGAGTCTGACATACAGATTTGGTTGTGGGAATGTTTTTAAATGAGTGCATGCAATTAAGAGACACATCCTGCACTCTGCTCCAGCTGTCTTTGTTTCCTTTGCAAAGCAAATACAGAAGGAAACAAGAACTTGAGTATGGTGTTACCAGAATAGCTCCATTGCACTGCTTCAAAGTCCAGAAGATGGGATTGGGCAAAAATCAAACGTATGGAAGATCAGAAATTGCAAGAGAAGCACCTCCCTGGGAGCTGCGACAAGCCAACAGGTCTCACCTCTCAGCACTCTAACCATGTTTCCCCAGAAAGGCATCGCAGCACCAGGAACGAGTCCGAGCAGCTCGGCAGGGACCTGGGACATGGGGTGAGCCGGAAGCCCAGCACCCCACAGGGACATAGAAGGATGCGCCCCTCTCCCAGGCCCCCGTGCCTGCTCCTTGGGAAGCCTGCACACGCACCGGAGAGACCTGCTCTGCTATCCTTCATGGCTGTGCTACACACAGGGCTCTCGGATCTTCTCATCTCAAGAACCTTCCTCAGTAAAGCTAGAGATAAACACAAGCTAGAGACAAACACTGTAAGTAAACACAGTTGTACCGAGACCACTGCAGTAAGGGGAAAGGTTGCTCTGAAGAACAAGTGCAACGCTCTTACAGGGACAAGTGGTTAAATGCAGCATAGGTGGGAGTAAACTCTAACTGAAAAAAAGTTCAGAAAACAGAGCACTCTTCAACAGCAATGTGAAAGAACATCATTAAGGCTGCTTGGCACAAGGCAGAGAACGAGGTGGAAGGAATGATGTGTATCTTAACTCATTTTTTCGGACTTTCAGATGTTTTGCCAGGAGGAAGGTTCTTCAGAAGTTTGTTTTCCAGAAGATATTGCTGGGCAACCTTACCTCCACATTAATTCCCTGCCCACCCTCCCCCGAGAATCAGACCCTAAACCTGAATAAATCTTTTTAAATGCAAGGGAAACATTTCCTACAAGATCAAGCAACTATTCTGGCAACTGTGTATTTCAGACAGGCCTGAAGCAGAGGTGCTTCTCTTTGGGCAGCCATAACAGAATCGGAACCAAAGGGTTCCTCTCACAGTTCTTAGGCTGCATGCAACTGCGATCACGCTTGTTTGGCGTGCAGACACATAACAGGGTTGTCAAGTGAGACTGAAGGCGTGGCCAGTGTCCAAGACCTGGACGTTTTCATTAAGCACAGCCACAGTAACTGTAAGACAGTGAGCAAAGAACCAAGCGCATCCCTCTGTTTCCATTGCCTGCAGCACCTGCCCGCTCCTTATGGGAGGACATCAGCGATTTCCCAGCACGAGGAAGGCGCTCCCAGCTGTCAGACGGGCTCTGCCACTTTACGTGGCTCCTCGCCAGCAGCACTTCTCCGAGGGGCACACAGGCCCAAACCCACCAAACTCCTCCTGCACCTGCCTGGCTTTCAGAGCACTGTGAGCAAGCTTTGACAAAGCAACACCCTTTCTTCCCCCAGCTGCCCAGCCACAGAACGAACAGGATCAGGAAACCGATCTGGGTTAAATACACCCATTTCTTGCTGGTTCCCCATATGGCTTCAGAAACGGCTGTACCAGCAGAGCTGATGGGGGAGAGCAGAGTTTGCATAAGCAAGAACTGCTTCCGAAAAACCTCGGTATTCTCAGAGGTGCAAAGTGTCCTGCACGCTTCAAGGAGATCTTACCAGCTGACTAAAAACATTGCAAAGATGAAAGGCAGCCAAAGACACTCTGTCATAGAGAGAATGTCCCGTTCACTGGAGAGTTTCTGGTGTTCTGTAACACCAGAAGTGCAACACTGTCTATTTCGTAATTATTCCATAGAGTACAACGATGAAACTGAAAACTGTGTTTGTCTAGAAACTACTTGGTGGCTTTCACAGAGATTGTCACCTGGAAATCAGGAGGGGAAGGATGATGAAGGGTACACCATTTCTGTGACACTCTGTGACAGCAAATCAAGACTTGGAAAGAATCAGTATTTAAAATGTTAATTGCTGCTGCTGGCTTGTGAAAGTCTCAGAAGAAAATGTGGCACTGAGTGTAAGCACGCTTGGCTTTGAACTCTCGTAAGAAAAAGCAAGCATCCTTTTCTCTTGCAAGAACAGGAAAAGCAGAAGCATTTGGTTTCTCTTCCCTAAAGACAGCCCTAGTTGCATTTACAGCTTCAGACTTCAGCTTCCCTTTTCTCACAGCAAGGGGTTGAATCTTTTCTACTCTGATCTAACCATTAAGCAGAATCGCTCCCACCTGACAACCAGCTGTGGCTGTTCTCCACAGACCCCTTCCCACAACACCCAGCCCACCGCAGCAGCTGACGGTTTGCCTCCCCTGCGGGAACGCGGCGAGCCTTTCTGAACGTGTTACTCTTGTCATGGACACAGTACAGACGGCAAAATTGCATTATGTTTTGTTGGGAGAGAAAATAAATGAGCAGCTGTTGCTAGAGCTGCAGGGAGCGGCGAACGCTCAGCCAGAAGCCGGACCAAGGCGCTTCCCAGCTTGCGGGTCGAAGTCCAGCAACGCCTCGGCTTAGGCTTGCGCGC